CAAGCTGATTGGCCTCAGGTTGTCAGGTTCCTCTTTCTTACCTTTTTTGAAGATAGGGACAACTTTAGCCCTCCTCCCATCATCTGGCACATCTCCTGTTTCCCATGATTTCAAGAAACTAATGGAGTGCCTCAGACTGTTCCTTCAGTAGTCTCAGATGCATTTCATCTGGCCCTGGAGATTTGAACTCATTCAGGGTGGTAAAATATTCCTTTACTATTGGTTTATCAATCTCCAGTTGCAATCCTGGCCCCCCCCCCTTGCACTTCTCATTTGTCTGGAGGTTCACAGTCTGTCCTATGAGAAAAGAATGAGCTAAAATAAGAATTGAACACCTCTCCCTTTTCTTTGTCCGCTGTTATCATTTTTCCATCTCCATTGCGGAGCTGTGCCACTATTTCTTTTCTTTGCCTTTTGCTTCACACATACCTGAAGAGTGCTTTTTTTATTGCTCTTTGTGTCTCTAGCTAATCTCAGCTCATTCTCAACTTTTGCTTTCCTAATGCTATCCCTGCATTTCCTTGGTGACCTGCCCTTATTTCCACTTCCTAAACATTCATTTTTTGTTTTGAGGTCCTCCCTGATTTTTTTGTGAAGCCACATTTATCTTCTTTGCTCACTCTCACCTTTTTTTTCTTGTTGGAATTGTTTGTAGTTGTGCTTTTAGAATTTATTTTTTTAGAAGCCCCCACCCTTCTTGGACTCCTTTTGTTGTTAGGATCACATGCCATGGGACCTTACTCATCCTCAGTCTGAAATTATTAAAATTGGCTTTTTAAAAATCCAGCATATATGTGTGGCTACACTCTGCTTTGGTTTCCTTTGAAATAGAAAATTCTGGTAGAACATGGTCACTCTCACCCAGGGTTTGCTTTACTGCAGGTTCCACCACCCAATCTTTTCCACTGGTTAGAATCAAGTCAAGGATAGGTAGTTCTCCAGTTTCTTTCTCCACTATTTGTGGGAGAAAATTATCAGCCACATAAGCCAGGAATTTCTTGGAAGAACCATACTTTGCAGAATTTGCCTCCCAACATATACAGTGGTGCCTCACTTAATGAGTGCACCGTATAGCGATGTTTCCGTATAGCGATCCCTTTTCCGGGATCGCTATACGGAAACATACCCGATCTTTGCAATGGGGAAAACCCGCATTGCGAAGATCAGGTATTGCGGCGGCCATTTTGGAGCCGCCGAACAGCTGATCGGCGGTTCCAAAATGGCCGCCGGAAGCCCGGAAATGGCTGCCGGCAAGGGGAATCCTCGCTGAACGGGTAAGTGAGCAAGGTATTGGAACACATTAAACTAAGTTTAATGCGTTTCAATACGTTTCCCCTACCCGTTTAGCGATGATTCCGTATAGCGAGGGTTAATCCGGAACGGATTAACCTCGCTATGCGGGGCACCACTGTATCTGGATCACTGAAATCTCCAATCATTATTACATCATATCTCTTTGAAATCCTTGCAATTTGTTTTTCAAAAGTTTCATCTGCTTCCTCTCCTTGATCGATCAGTCGGTAGTAAACTTGAACTACCATGTTCCTTTTGTTTTTCCCCCCAACTAGATTGATTCAAATGCTCTCAGTGGGTCAGCCAATCTCTTCCTCCTGTATTTCTGTGCAGGAATTTGTATTTTTTACATATACTGCAACTCCATCTCCCATTCTATTCTCTCTGTTCCTTTTGAACAATTTATATCCTTCAATTCCTGTATTCCAGCAATGGGAGTCATCCCACCAAGTCTCAATTATTCCTATCAGGTCATATTCGCCATCCTGAACTAAAATTTCCAGTTTTTCTTGTTTTTTTTTTTTTTTACCATACAGTGGTGCATCGCATTACGATGTTAATTCGTTCCAGCAAAATCGCTGTAGAATGAAAACATCGTAAAGCGAAATTAAAAAGCCCATAGAAATGCATTAAAACCCAATTAATGGGCTTGAAATCCTATGGGCTTGAAACTCGCCGTCCAGCGAAGATCCTCCATAGTGCGGCCATTTTCGGTCATTTTTTTTACCCAGCGGCCATTTTGAAACTGCCGATCAGCTGTGCGCAAATTGTCATTTTGCGATAATCGGTTAGCAACGCAGGGAACCGATCATCACAAAGCGAAAAAAAACCCATAGGAAACATTGTTTTGTGATCGCTTTTGCGATTGCAAAAACTTCGTTATGCGATTTCGTCGTTAAAAGAAGCGCTCGTCTTGCGAGGCACCACTGTACTTCTGCCATTTGTATATAGACACCACAGATTGTGTGGTTTGTGGCCTGTTTGTACTTATTTTGAACATTACTATTAATGTTAATGTTATCGTTGACCTCCATTTGAACAGTTTGGTCTGTTCCTCTTATTGTGAATAAGGCTTTATATTTCTTTAACACTGTGCTTGCATCTCCTTCCCCCTTCCAATTCAGTTTAAAACCCTCCTGATAAAGTTCTTCATGCTATGGCCAAATACATTCTTCCCAGTCCTTGTTAGGTGCAAGCCATCTCTTGCTAGCAGTCCTTCTTCCAGGAAGCTTAGCCCATGGTCCCAAAAAACTAAATCCCCAAAGTCCTTGAATTTCCTTCCCAGAGCTTCAAAGTCTGATGTGGTTTCTTCAGAGCTCCTCATGGGCTGTGTCATTTGGCCCCACATGGACAAGAAGAAAGGGATATGTATCTCTGGGTGATGGCAGTCCTTCTTGCCCTTTTTGACCTTCCAGGAAACATACCTGGTGAGGCCATGGATCTTCCTAGCATATTTCGGTCTCAATTCCATGTAATAGGAGTCCCCTACTATAACTACTGTGTTCTCCTCTTTTCTTTTCTTTTCTTTTTTTGGGGGGGGTAGGGTAAGAGTTCAGTGACTGTATTTTGCTGTGCTTCAGCTCTTCTCTTGTCCTTCTGTGGGGTCTCCGCTGCATGCTGTCCAGCAGACTCCTCTTCAAAAATCTGAAAGCAGTTTTGCAGTTCCACTGGTGAAGAGTTTCTTCTCCTTCTTTTGCTCCTAGCTGTGACTCTTTTCCATGGTGGTGCCTCCCCTGTGTTTGTACTCTCCTCAGCACTCTCCTCCGCTGCTTTGCTTTGGTTTTCTCCCATCTCCTGTGCCCCCTGTGACAGCTGCTGCTGCTGTCAAGAGTTCTATCAATGTAGGCTTCATCTTCCCTTAGAACCGTTAGTGTCGCTACTTGGTGCTCCAGTCCTCTCACTTTTTCTTCAAACGGTGTCACTAGTTTGCACTTGTTACATGCGAACGCCACGTTACACTCAGAAACAAAGACAAACATAACACAGACTTTGCAGGTTACTACTACTGAATTGTCTCCAGCCTCCATAATCCCTGCTAGCTTTTTGCTTCCAACTGATTGTTTATGAATGCCCGTCCATTTTATTTTGTTACTTTGGCTGTAGCTGGAAGCATCTACAAATATATAACTATATTCCAAAGAACCAAGAAGAAAGTTGGTAGGGGCCTCCCCCTTGTCCTCCCCTGGGAAACTCCTGTTCACTTGCTCTGGTCACTGCCTCCCTGAGTCTGTCTCATCTTTATTCCTCAGCTGTGCTCTGTTTGGAGTCAGGAATTTTTAAAAAGCCTTCTCTGTTCCATTAATTAATTGAATCAGTTATGTTACTATTTGGGTGTTTCCTTTTCCAAATTTCCATCGTTCTTTTTTGAAAACCATCGGGTGTTGGGTTTGCCTCATAGTAACATTTCATAATTTCTCAGTTTTTTGAGAGAATCCAAGTTGCATTTGGATAGCTTTGCAGCCTGTTCTGGTTCCTTAACAGGGTCTGCTGAGCCCTGTAACCCATTTGTCAGGGCTTAGAATCATAGAATAATGTCACAGAGTCATAGAATAATGAATGGCTTGGGCCCTGGATACCCGAAGGACTGCCTCCTTCCATATGAGCCTACCCAGCAGTTAAGATCTAGTCAGGGGGCCCTTTTGAAAGAGCCATTCCTCAAGGAAGTAAGAGGGATGGCTTGTAGACAAAGGGCCTTCTCAGCTGCTGCCCCCAGACTATGCAATACCCTCCCGACTGAAATTCGTCTGGCGCCGAC